TGACCAAGTTTGACTTCTGAGGGCAGTTTGGTAATTTGGGTCTTGATGGAATTGGTCCTATGATGATTGTAGGTGTTTGAGTTTGGAGCTGTGTTGGGAGTTTGACATTATCATTCAGTGCTACTTGTGAGGTGAGTTCTTCTCACTATATCAACAGGGTCTAAGGCACCAAGGCCGACCCTTTTTGGATTGTATCCTGGTTATAGGATGATGTTATGTTAGTGATCTATTAGATCGGTATCCTGGTTATAGGATGGTGCTATGTTTAGAGATCTGTTAGATCGGTATCCTAGTATATAGAATAATGTTATGATTAGTGATCGGTAGATCTGTATGACTGATATGTACATGCTAGCTAGCGTATGATATTTATGTGTTTATTGTGTGATTGGGGTGGTTTGAGGCGGTCATGCTTTGTGTACTAGTCAGGCCGAAGGCCCGGAGAATGGTGCAAACAGGCCGAAAGCCCGATAGGGCGGACCAGACATGCTGAAGGTTCTGAGAATGGACCAGATAGACTGAAGGCCCAGTACGGGCGGTCCAGTCATACTGAAGACTCTGAGAGTGGACCAGATAGACTGAAGGACCGGTGCGGGCGGTCCAGTCATACTGTAGACTCTATATGCATGTTGTTTGATATGATATTGTTTTGATTGTATGATGTTGGTATTTTGGGGGAACTCACTAAGCTTCAGACTTACAGTTGTTGATTTTGTTTCAGGTACTTCAGATGATCGCGGGAAGGCGAAGGCTTGATCGTGCACCTTCTCATATTTTATGATTTTGATTTTTGGGATACTCTGATATGAAACTGTTTTGAAAACATTTTGTAATAATTAATGGTTGAAAAAGTTTTAAATTGGCTTGAATTTTATGGATGGTACATTCCCACACATGAATAAACTTAAGAGGCTTTAACTTATCATCTTGGAATGTAGCGTGCGTTTTTTTTCAACAAACTCGCTTCACTTTCTCCGTTAGCCCATTGATTTTCAAAGTTTGTGTAAATTTCATTCCAATGTGTCACGAGTTTGTTAACAAGATTCCATTTCGAGTCACATTGGTCGGAGGTCCGATAATCTGGATTTCGACCCATTCCTTTACAAAACCACTCTGCGATACGTAGCCAAAATTGATCATGATTTTGACCCTTTCCCGTGCCACCATCTTTGGATATGTCGACCCATGTCTTTGCTAACTCGGTTTCTTCTTTTTGTGTCCATCTTCTCAGACCGAACTTCCCTTTTTTTGTTGAGGTTGTTGTTCTTCGTGTTCAGAATCAGAAAGAATTTCGGTTGAAGGTGTGAAAGGCAGTTGGGATTGAAATTAGAATTGGCTTTAGGATGGTTGGGTTTGCGGTTGGGATTGGTATTGGAAATGTTGTGGTATTTGGAATTGTGAATAATAGCCAGAAACACCATCCATTTGTGGTCGGTAAGGTGGTGATGATAACGGATCGTAGCCGAAGTACGAACGGGTTGGAAACATTTTGGTTTGGAGCATTTTGCTTGGAAGAGTTTGGATTGTTGGAAGACATTTTGAATGAAAAGTATGTAAAGAGTGTGTAATTTGGTAATGTTTTGGAAGAATGGTATGTGTGTGTGTGTGTGTGTGTATATATATATATATATATATATATATATAGGGCTAGGTTATTTTGTTTCTTACATCTAGTATGTACCCGTAAGCATAATTCTGGACCAATGGATGAATAAAATAAATGGTCATGATCTGAGGGTCTACGATATTACAATAGGGTAACATGTACCATATAATCATACAAATTTCAACAGCAAGGGTGTTTTGGTCAATTAACCTACATTAAAAAAGGAAATTTCCGGATTTTAAGGGATAATTAATTTCCTTTTTTAAAATCTGATTTTTTTTAAATTAATTCAGATTTAATTCTATTATAATTTCTAATACTAATCGATTTTATTCTGTCAGAATGACATAGAGTCAAACAGAAAATAGTAAATATATTTTCGATTTTATTCTTGCAGAATATGGTTCATTCAATATATTTTTTATAACTAACATGCTTAAAGAATTATACAACATATTATCAATAATAACATTTTCTAAAGAATACAAATTTTATTTTTTAAGAATCACTAATTACATTAATTCGTAAAGAATAAGACTAAACAATTATTATATTTATTCTGAAAAATATGATTAATAATGGTTTAAGAATTACATTTATTCTTAAAGATTAAAACTAAGAATGGTTAAAAAATAAAAATAAAAACATCAAAATCTAACAAAAACACTAATTCATTCTGAAAAAATATTATTGTTAAGAAACACTTTATACATTCTGGCAGAATACATTCTGCTAGAATACTCTTGTTCTCTATGTTTTCTTCTTTTTCCACATCAATGACAGCCTCTTCAAAAATCTATATCCACAAAGAAAACATAATCAACTTTAAAATATTAAAACTTTTAGTATATTCTAAAAGAATAAAACTATAAATTCTAATAGAATGTGTTAGACGTTAAAGACTTTTAATTTATTCTAACATAATATAATACTCAAGTCACTTGATCAAGTATTCCCCGAGTCACTTGATCCAAATAATCAACTTAATCTAATTACAATGATTCTAGAGCCTACATTGTAGCTAACACAGAGGACAATACATTGGAAAAAGGTTATATTATTACAATCAAGAATATGGGAAATATGACAGTTCAAAGATCACAAAAAATTTTCTGAACAAAGTAAAAATGCTAAAAATATAGTTGTAGCATCCAATGTTCGAAGGACTGTAACTTAGCCAATATTAATCCAATTAAAAGGACTTCAGAACCTAACTTGTAGCTAACACAAATGAGAATATGCAGAAATTTTTTTGAAATCATTCCAAGCTAGTATGAGAGATATATGATAGTTCAAAGATTACAAAAAAATTGGCTGAAATATTTAATTCAAGCATTTTAGCAAACAATTGGCGGGCAAAATCGGATGCTCGGATCTTTATACTCCATTTGATGACACATACAACATATGTAATTAATAAATACATGAATGTGACTAAATTTACAATAAAAGAGTGTATACCTTCAAATACTAACGAGTAATTTGAGATTCCACGCCATAAAATCGAGATTCCATTCTGACAGAATTAGAACTTGATCTTGCATTCCGACATAATTGCTGTCAGATACCATAATCAAAAATTTGTGGTAATTATCCAATCAAGACCAGTGCTCTGTACATAAAAATTATACTTTTAATTTTTCGAATTTCTTGTTGGAGCAAAAGCCTTCAAATTTCTTGTTAGAGAGAAAACTAAAAACATAAACAAAAAAAAGAAAGTTCCAACCAGACTATAGGGTTAGAAATTATCCGCATAATCTGGTTTCTTTTTTCCTTCAACCCCAAAGTCATGTTTAGGGTTAGAAATCAAGTAGAAGAAAGATTAACAATTACTCACCAAATTAGAGGTTCCTGATGAAAAAGGAAGAAGGGCACGATAATCGTTAAACACAAAAGCCTTTCTTTAATCGAATATGAAATAAAGAGAGATTGCGTTTCTATTTATGTCCGTTCCTGATGAAGAAGGAGAATCAAATCAGGGGGAAAATGGTTTGTGTGGGGGATTGAGACAAATGATTTGCAGAATGAAGGAATAGAAGAAATTGGAGGGCTTATTGTTATGGGGAAAGAAGAAGATGGTGTGGTAGCCCTAGGGAAGGAGGGTGGCGACGGTGGTGGAGTCCTCTGATTTGCGCTAGTGGTGGAGTAAGAAGAAGAATCGCAGGGGATCAGCGAGACAACAAAGATATGGAGGAAGAAAATTGAAGACGACAATTGTAGGGTTTTTTCTATAGGTTTTGACTTTAACATCCCATATTTAAAGGGATAATAAACATATTAATTATCTACCATAATTAAATATGCAAAAATTACTATAATACCCTTAAATGATTTATTATTTCCTCAATTCTCATTGGTGCATACATGCACACACTAGTTGCTAGAAATATTTGAACCTAGTTCTCTCTCTCTCTCTCTCTCTCTCTATATATATATATATATATATATATATATATATATATATATATATATATATATATATATATATATATATATATATATATATAATAGTAAATTTGTTTAAAAAAATGAGAAAGTAGCTGTTGCCAGCCGTTGGCAACGTTCCATTCCAAACCCAATGTTCGATTTTTAATCTTTTGCCATCGGTAGAAACCCACCACCGGTATTATACCCACGGTAAATTTTTTGGTGAAGCCCGGTGTTTACCGGCGGTAAAGAGGACACGTCAACATTACCGGCGGTGACACATTTACAAAAACCACTTAGCCTAACTCAAGGTTAGTGGTTTGTTAAGATGAGATTATGAAATGAAAATTTCATTGAAAAAGCTTTTTACCGGTGAAATTAAAATTTGCTCTTTGTTTAAAACACTTTTTTAATATTTTTTTCCCTCATTTTGCACCATTTCTTTTTAAAATCTTTTTCCATCTAACATTTTATATTTGTACTTAGGGTGAACATTTGGACCTCTGGACCAGACCGGCCTCAACAGATCCGGTCTAAAGTCCATCAATTTCTGCCAAATCGGTCCGGTCCAAGAGCCGTTGTCCGGTCCGATTCGATCAAAATACTCGTCCCTATTTATACTAGGAAATTTTTTTGCGCTTTGAAATTGGTTTTTTATATGCTCATAACTAGAAAAACATCAAATATTCTTTTGATGTCTTCGGCTATCAAATTGCAATTTAACATTATGAATCGATAAAAATCCATAGATTTCTTTTTCTTGGAAAATACATAAATTGTTGATGAATAATTTATGTAAAAAACCTAGAATATGAATATTATCATATTTGTATGTTAAAAGTATTTTTCCAAGTATAACTATTTCTATATTTTTATTTTATTTCTTATTAAATATATCTATCCAAAAAGCATTTATTACAAAAGTTCTTAACCAAAAAAGAAAAACATAAACAGGTCCCTTAGGATAATGTCAACGTGCTGTTACTTTATCATTTGCTTTCATCCCATTAACAAGCACTACAAAAAACCATCGATAAACTTCCAATTCCAACTATATTGCCACATCAGTTCCACCGCCGGAAACCGCCTAATTTGCCGACCACCGAATTTCTTCCGATCAGATCAGGTTCGTTATCTTCATCTCTATGCGTTTATTATTTGGGTACATAAATCTTTCAGGAAAGCTATCCGTATACACCTGTTGACAGATGAATTGTGGTTTGATTTAATTTTGATTTCGATTCTAATTTGTCTGCTCTTTTTAATTGGTGCAATCGGTATGTGATCGTTGTAGTTTTTTTTGAGGGGTTGTTTCCGGCGAGATGAGTGAAACATTTGAAGGTTGCGAACGCCAATACTGCGAGCTTTCGGCGAGTTTGTCGAAGAAGTGTACATCAGCTACTTTACTCGATGGAGGTGAGTCAAAACCCTAATTCGGTTCAATATCTTTCAAAACTATGTGTATATGTTGTTATTAATCTGATGTTGCCATAGATTAAAGATATTCTAAACGATTTAGAAACAAACATGATAGAACCTTTATGATTTACCTTACATTGATTCCCAAATCAGAATTGTTCAGCTTCCTTTTGGTTCAAATCAGGACAGAAGTCAGGAAATTAATTTATGATCTTATACTCTAAGTTTTAGAATGCCTTTTTCCTATCCTATTTCTGTATTATCAATGCTTCATCTCCTACAAGTCAGCTATGATCTGACTTTTGTTGGCATGGTTTTGATGCCTTTATTATCCCTCAATTTTATCACATGAATTTCTGCTGAAACTTTGGTGTTTGTTCTTCCAGAAAGAACAATGGCTAATATGTTGAAATTGGAGGAGGTGTTTGGTGTTTGATGTTAGGATTTAGTATTTGAGACACGTGGATTTGAGAAATTTTGATTTACTTTAGACAGATGGGTGAAATAGTCATTTATTTTCATTCAACAGTTTATTCAGTTAAAATAAAAAGAAACTTTTTTTTGTTCATACATGAGTTCCTACATACAGACATCACTTAATTAGGAAAAAAGAAAGAAAAACGACCCTTAGTTGTATGTCTGTTATCACTTTAATAAACCTTTTTAATATTGAAAAAATAAAAGTCTGCGAGCTTCATTGACCATGAAAATGTTTATATGATAAAAAAAACCTAGCAAGACTTCTAAAGAGATCCATGTCTCATCCGTACAAAAGACGTAAATACCCTTATTCAGTCCCATGCAACAAACACAACCTAAATCTTTTGCCTTTCTACATCATCATTTTATGTTTGTTATTTATTCATTTCAGAGCAAAAGAAGCAGAAAATTTCCGAAATAAAAGCCGGAATAGATGAAGCCGAGACTCTGGTATCGTGTCAATCCTTGATTCCATTCCATTATTAATCTCATAACACATTTTTTTTTTTTAATAATAATAAAATATAAATTCAGATACGAAAAATGGACACAGAGGCAAGAAGCCTACCACCAAATGTAAAAGCTGTTCTTCTGGCAAAATTAAGAGAATACAAATCGGATTTGAATAATTTGAAAAGTGAAATTAAACGAATTGCATCATCCAATTTAAATCAAGCTGCTCGAGATGAATTATTGGAATCAGGAATGGCAGATGCAACTGCGGTATGTATGACTTATATCCACCAATTTATTATTTTTTATAACTAAAAGTGTAAATTACATTTTTGGTCCCAAGAAATTTTCTCTTGCAATTTTGGTCCTTATTTGAGGTTCTTGTAACGTAATTGGTATTTTTGGTCCTTGAGTATAGTTGATTTTTGCAATTTTGGTCCCAAAAAGTTTTCTCTTGTAATTTTGGTCCTTCATTGAGATTCTTGTAATGTTCTTGGTCCTTGTTCCAAATAAATGACCATTTTTGGTCCCCAAGTATAGCCAGATTTTATAATTTTTGTCTCAAAATGTTTTTCTTGCAATTCGGTCCTTATTTGAGGTTCTTGTAATGTTTTTGGTCTGTGTTTCAAGTAAACTGACTATTTTAGTATTTTTGGTCCCTACATGTAGCTGATTTTTGCAATTTTGGTCCTTATTTGATGTTATTGTAATGTTTTTGGTCCTTGTTCCAAGTAAATGACCATTTTTGGTCCCCAAGTCTAGCCAGATTCTACAATTTTGGCCCCAAAAAGTTTTCTCTTGCAATTTTGGTCCTATTTTGAGGTTCTTGTAGTGTTTTGGTCTTTGTTTCAAGTAAATGATCATTTTCAGTCCCTGAGTATAGCCAGGTTTTTCAATTTTAGTCCCAAAAGGTTTTCTCTTGCAATTTTAGTCCTTATTTGAGGTTCTTGTAACGTTTTTGGAAGTAAAACGATTATTTTTGGTCCCCAAGTATAGTTGATTTTTACAGTTTTGGTCCCAGAAAGTTTTCTCTTGCACTTTTGGTTCTTGTAACTTAAAATGACTATTTTTTGGTCCCTGAGTATAGTTGATTTTTACAATTTTAGTCCCAAAAGTAGTCTTTTTACTTGAAACAGTGACAAAATACGTTACAGGAGAAAATGTTTTTGGACCAAAATTGAAAAACAAAAGGTATACTCAAGGACCAAAAGTGTAATAAAAAATAGTGGTGAATGTGACAGATGTCAGCAGACCAAAGAGGAAGGTTATTAACGTCAACAGAAAGATTGAATAAGTCAAGTGACAGAGTTAGGGACAGTAGAAGGACTATGCTTGAAACTGAAGAACTCGGTGTTTCACTTCTACAAGATCTTCATCAACAGCGAGAGTCTCTTTTACGTGCCCATGGAACCGTAATTTTTAATTCACTTTACCAAATGACTAAAATGCCCTTGTACTTTCACCATGCTATTCATTTACCCACTTGATTACTTATACTGGTTTTTGTATGTTTTCAGCTTCATGGAGTTGATGAGAACATAAGCAAGAGTAAAAAAATAATGACCAATATTTCAAGAAGAATGGGGAAAAACAAGTGGATAATTGGGTCTGTGGTTGCTGTTCTTATCATTGCCATCATCTTGATTTTGTACTTCAAGTTGAAGTAGAATCCCAAAATTCAAGCTTTGTGTTTTCTTGGTTTTGCAAGTGTGTCATTTATTGTGGTCTTTTTTTTTTTTTTTTTTTTTTTTTTTTTGAAAATGTTTGATTTATTTTGAGCAAAAACACACATTTCCAAGTGTTGATCTTTCTTGTGGTTTTGGGGATCTTACATATGCATGAAAAATAAACTTTTTGTGGCTTGTTTATGATGCATCCTATTGTCAACAAACTTAGCAATCTCTAGGTAAATATGTTGCACTATGTTTGGCATCGTGTTATTTTTTAGAACCATAAAAAAATGTCAATCATGACTTTTGTGAAGCAAGCAATGAATATAAAACAATACAAGTGGAGTTTCATTTTAATCTAGTTTAAGTTTTTTTATTTTGGTATGTAATTTATTAATGATATATAAACATATATTTTTCCGTTAAAAACGGTCCCTCTTTTGTTTTTTGTAATGGCCTGAAATATATTTGGACCGGTACTAATGGAATAAGATGGTACTCAATAATCCAAATATAAAAGTTCAATAAATCAAGTATACAATTTACCAAAGGATTTATGTCGTCTACACCAATAGGTATTATATCCACATAGGGATGAAAATTTCACCCGACCCGGTGGGGAACCCGGTTGACCCGCCCCAATCGGGGACGGGTATTCCCCGCTAAAACGGGTTTGCGTACGGGGCCGGGGATCCCCATTATGCTAAAACTGGGGATGGGGCCGGGATCGGGTATAACAATCCCCAACCCATCCCGCCCCCGCTTTGATATATATATATATATATATATATATATATATATATATATATATATATATATATATATATATATATATATATATATATCATTTATTGAATTTGAATTAAGTCCACTAAAATGAATTGATCTATATTAGACCGTCAGAGAAAGAGCTCGTATATCAAATTATGTTCCCAATTCCAAGAGTTCGTCAATCGTCACTTCGTTCGACAATCTGTATACCAAATCATCACTTTTCGTTTTGATGCTTGTTAAAATTTGTGATTGATGTAAACAGAATCTGATTATGGCATCTGGTTTTGATCGCTTATTAAACTTGGTTTTTTTTTTGTGTAACTTAGAATTTATTATGTTGATAGATTGGGGATAGGCCGGAGATGGGCTGGGGAAAAGCCCAAAATAAAAGGGGAGGGGATTTGATTCCCCGCATCTGTTGGGGGTGGGGATGGGAACGATGACGAGGTTAGACACTCGGGGATGGGGATAGGGATGGTCAACCCCGCCTCAAACCCGCCCCATTTCCATCCCTATATCCACACAAAATTTATTGATTTCATAATGGGATATATGTAGAAAAACACAACCAATTATACATGTATATGTAGAAAAACTCTTATTTTATTTTTTATATTCAGAAAAACCCTTACATTATTACATATGTTTTAAATAAAACAAAATTGCAAATTTTTAAAAGAAATGACCCGATAAAAATATGATATGACATACATACCTCTTAAATTTCCTTGATTGTATGTGAAAACATGTCAAAACGTACATTTATTTCAATTACTTTTGCTCGATTGTGTTCTCCATATAGAATTATACGATTGATTTTTCATTCCTTAACTAATCGTTTTTATCATAATTAACATTGATGTCGTATTAAAAAACAAAAATGTAAGCAACATCATATTTGTAGTCGTCAATTTCTCTTAAAAACTCGTATTTTGGTCTTTTTCTAATGATAACTATTAATATAAGGGTTTTTTCTGAACCTAAAAATAATATAAGGGTTTTTTATACATACATGTATAATTCCTTGTGTTTTTCTGCATATATCCCTTATAATGTTTATAATTACGTTGAGATTCTATATACAAAATTATGTATTTGACTTTGACTACAAATCCGGACGTACTTTTCTTTTTCTTCTTTGGTCGATTCCCATTGATTAATATAAGATACACAAGCAATCCGATTCCACAATACAACAAAGAGATGTATTGATAATTTGGTATGCAGAAGCCTTTTTTATATTTCTTTAACTCTAAGACGCATAACGTACCTTAAAGATGCAATATTTGTCGATATTGTCAATAAGATAAATATGCATTATGCATAAAAAAGGTTGTCATTTAGTCAAAAATGTTGTCATGTGTTAGCACATTAGCTTCAAGTCAAATATGGACCATGTATTATATTAATGTACCTTAAGGCAACATTTGACGCATGGACAATACGAGACAGAATTGAACCGAACATAGTTAAACTAGATTGATTAAGATTATACAATTATTTTTAGTGTTTGGTTGATTACAACAGAAACAACAAAATAGTAAAATTATTAGATTGTACCTTTTTCGGTTTTAAAGGTGCCTAAAGCTGTGATTAATTTTTTTGGAGAGTTTAAGAACTCGTTTCTTTTGGGGTGTGAGTGATAAGGAGAGAAAGATAACTTGGGTCAAGTGCGTCAAGGTTCTTAATTCTAAGGAGAGGGGTAGTCTTGGAATTGGAAGTCTGATGGCTTTTAATATTGCTTTGTTGCTTAGGTGGAGATGGAGATTTCATGTCGATCCGAACTCTCATCAGGCTAATATCATTCGAAACATCCATGGGTTTAATTGGGGGGGGGGGGGGGGATATCTAGGTCAAAAACCGAAAGGGCCGAGTTTGTGGATTTCGTTGATCAAACTTTTTCATGCAATTCATGAAAAAAATATTGTTCCGCTTTTTTATTTGAGAAAATGTATTGGTAATGGTTAAGAAACTCGTTTTTGGGATGAAAATTGGTCGGAGGACGGTTTACTTAGGGATAGATTCCTCGTGTATATGCTATGGAATCTAATAAGAGTTGTTTGGTTAGTGATAGATGGCGTGACGGTTAGGGTTGTAAACGAACCGAACGAACATGAACGAGGCTTGTTCATGTTCGTTCGTTTAAGTTAACCGAACAAATGAACGAACACAAACGGTTAAACGAACGATTTTTCTTGTTCATGTTCGTTCGTTTAACAAATTACATTGTTTGTGTTCGTTCGTTTATGTTCGTGAACATGCTAAACGAACATAAACGAACAAAGATAAACAAACATATATGAACATAAATGAACATTTAATATAGTAATGTAATCAAACACAATTAAACATATATGAAGATAAAATGAACTTATATGATCGAACATAAACAAACGTAAACAAACAACATAGACAAACGTTCACGAACATAATTGAACGAACGAGACCATTGTTCATGTTCGTTCGTTTAACTAAACGAACGAGAATTTGTGTTCATGTTCGTTCATTTATTAAATAAGCGAACATAAACGAACTTCCCGTCGAACGATTCACGAACAGTTCGTTGAACGTTCAGTTCGTTTACAGCCCTAGTGACGGTGAATGGGTTTGGGAGTGGATATGCCTTTACGAGATGGGGGTATCACTGCTGCCCGATTCTTGGCTTTGATGGGTAGTCTAGCGCAAGTGCAACTTACAGATCAGTTAGATAGATAGAAGTGAGATTTAGGCACAGATGGTGTTTTGTGGTTAATGCCACGAGACGTCATATTGATGCTATTTTGTTGTAGGGAGGTGGAGGTGTTACACGTTGGTGTCGCTTAGTGCCTATCAAGTTAAATGTGCTCTTGTGGCGTATTTTGTTGGATAGAATTCCTACAATGGTGAAATTGGTGGACCGGAATGTGGATATTTCTTCGGTGCTATGCCCTTTGTGTGATGTATAGGTGGAGGACTCCCATCATGTTTTTGTTCTCTGTGAAGTGGCTAGTGAGGTTTGGAGGAGAGACTTCAAGTGGCTTGACTTACCCTTCCCTTTGTTTTCCAATGTGGCAGATTTATGCAATCGGGTCGATTCGGTTATCGTGAACAATGCTAAGAGGAAGGCGTTGGAGGTTATTGTGCTCACTGCGATTTGGATGTATCGGAATGGTGTTGTGTTCCAGACCATAAGGATGAAGAGAAGTTCCATTTTTGGTAACATTGTTTTGCATTCTTTTGATTGGTTTTCAAATAGAAGTACCATAACGTGGACTTTGTGGTTACAAAACCCAATGCTCCAAAACTCTTTGTAATTGTTTTCCCCAACTCCTTGCTAGTTGGTTTCTTTTTATATAGTTTTCAGCCATTAAAAAGAACTCTAAATTTCCATCTAATTCATATGAATCGGTTGTTAAAAAAACCCAAGTTAAATCAAAGTTTATGGAACAACATGAATGTTTTTTACCACATCTATAATTCCTTTTGATGTGCAATCAAAGAAGCTATTTTTATTGTAATTAAAGAAGGAAAAATTCATCAAATGACCACAAAAGGAGGTGTGGTTGAAGAAAATGACCAAGAAAATGCAACTTTCATAAAATGACCACGATTTCCGTAGAGAGAGTCTGTGCGGAACTCGTTCAGCTCTGAGGAATTGGAAAAGCTCTAAGGAAGTCACGTGGCAGGGGTAAATTCGTAAAAACACAAAGAAAACTTAACAAAATTGAAAGGGTGCTGGTACAAAATTGTGTTTGAACTTACCAAAATCGAAAAAATTGTGTTTGAAATCGAAAAAACTTACCAAAATCATTTTTGGCCATGGTTATGTGAAGAACAATTCCTCAGAGACGACATGTGTTTGAAGAACAATTCCTCAAAGGGTCCCTCTGCGAAATTGCTCTTCAAACACATGCCTCTATGAAATTGTTCTTCGCATAACCATGGCAAAAAAATGATTTTGGTAAGTGTTTTTTTGTTAATTTAACGAGATTTCACCATTTCGCACATACCATTGATTCAATATAACAAATTAAACTATAAAACTACGTTTCTAAAACAATTTTTCGCAGCATCCTTTCAATTTTTTTACCCTTGCCACGTCACTTCCTCATAGCTTTTCCAATTCCTTAGAGTTGAACGAGTTCCGCAGCTCTCTGTGGAAATCATGGTCATTTTATGAAAATTGAATTTTTTTGGTCATTTTCTTCAACCACACCTCCTTTTGTGGTCATTTGATGAATTTTCCCATTAAAGAACCTCGATGCTAGAATGATAAGGAACACCATAAGTTTTTTTTGGTAAAGTA